TAAAATAAAAAAATCTCATGCTATTTTTGACAATAATATTATAACAGATAATGTTAACTATTATTATACTTGACATAGATTCGCCGTCTAATATTCCTACAATCTGTGTGGTCACATGTACAAAATAACGTTTTTGTAACAACTTTTATCAATTGTATAACAATACAATTGATAAAAGTTGTTATTGTTTAAAAAATGTGATACCGTGTTTTTATTCATTTCCTAATCTGGGTTTCAACTTTCGAAAATAGTTTAAATAATTGTTCATAGTTTTAATTAGTATTGACAGTTTAAGGTTACAGTCATGTTATTTTCAACGATAAGGTTGTGCGTTATAACACCGCCTGTGTATGTTTTCTGTTCGTAAGATGCATGAAAATATCGTAAAGATATTCTCTTTAACCTAAAGATTGACGACACGTGGAACACAGAAGGATGATCATGTACTGCCTAAAGAAAAACAATTAATGAAACAGGTGAAAAAATGTGTTACGAGACATCATACATAGACCGATCATTTTATTAATGTCAAATATAATTTAACAGTGAAATACTTATGTAATTACTTATCTCACAAACATATTGTTATTTGAAATAACAGTGACCCATAAGGTAAATGTCATTTGAGGAACTCCAAGCAATTCAAAACAATTATTGTTTAATAATAGGTATTTATCACAATGTTATGTAATTTATTGATTACATTGTAAATATTATGCGTTTCAATGAATTATGTTATTAAATGGAATATTGTTTTTACCTAAAAATATCTATAAATGGATATTAACGAATATTGTATTCTATTTTTGTATTTTTACGTAAATCTAAGTATAAAACTGAATTTTAATCAGATCAAATTTCATTTCTTTGACTTGTTAATTCGAATTGCTTCCGTGATTTAGCTATTGAATATTAAAAAGGCTTCGGATTCCTGTTATAATATTAGAATTTATTTCTTGTTAAACTACAAGCAACCTATTGCTTAATTCTATATATCTAAATCTGTATTTCTTTAGGTATCTAGTTAGCTAAGGAAAAATAATTTAAAACCAAATTGTTCCTATTTAAAACTTCAAAAAAAAGTTGACGACAACATGTCTATATTTTATAGTTGACTCATCAGTTTTGTCGTAATTAAAAGTTACAATAGTATTCATTATTTCTAAAACCATTTCCACAAACAAAATGTTACAAAAAACCTTACAAAATACATACGTTATTTATCAATTTGTAAAAACAAAAAAAAAACTTTAGTAAGAGTTATTGTCAGTTCCTCTTGTCCATCCTACGCCCTTAGTTTCAAAACTGGCTGTTAATGTAAATTTAGTAGTATTCTTTATTAGCCGGCCCTTTAAGAATTGGTGCGCTCTTTCCTCGAGGACTAAGTCGATTTGGTTCGGAAATACGGGCAGCTGGTTTCACATAGTGGTGGTGGACGGACATCGAGGTCATAGGGTTGAATTTCATATTCTGCCCCGACGTCCGATGATGAAACTCAGTTGTAAGTATTAATCCGAACAATTCTAAACACTCTCCACACTCAAATGCGTTGTGAGACGCAACGCCGAAGGGTTAACCCGGTCGCTCCTTTTAGCATTTCGGGAACTAATTCTGATATGGGTTTTACGGGAACCAAGTGCCATCGATTATTAAATTACTCAGACGATTGATTAAGGACATGAAGGCAATTTCATTCATATGTATTTAATAAGTTATGTTTGACGCGGAAATAAAGGATGAACAGCCAAGTCGAGATCCCCTAAAGAAATACAAAGTAATTTATATTAAAAATCACTTACACGTGAAATCCTCTTAATTTGTGGCTCACTCACATACATGCCCGTTCGTTAGGTAAGAGAAGGAAGAGCCTTCTATGCCTAACACTATGTTTATATTCACCGTACGTGTGCACGGATTTTAAAGACTAATTTTAAACCTTCAGAGTCACACGTAAGTATTTATTTACACTTCATCATCTTAAAAACATACATATAAAAAGCAGGTTACATAAGTTATTAAGCAACGGTCAGCCTTATCGTTAACTAACGATTTCTTGCAGGCAACCATAGTATGGCATAATAAAAAATTAAACAGTAAACACTTACAGAGGGTAGAGTATAAGAAGTGCTTAAATAATTAACAAAAAGAACATAACACTAACTATTAATAAAATAAAGTAAAATCTATAAAAAAAAATGTAAAAGCTAATCCTAGGGTTAATGAGTGACTATTAACATATATAAGTAGCTAACAATGATTAATACTTTAAATAAATTAACAGACTGAGCTCGTCTCATATCAAGAGGTAAGGAGTTCCAAAGCAGGATACTTTGCACAGTTAAGGAAGAGTGATAGAATTCAGTTTTATGACTAGGGGTATCAAGAATTAGATAGTCAAGGGAACGCAAATCAAAACTACCGCCAGAGAGGAACATACAATTTTGCTTTAAGTAACTTGAAGTTTTGGGATTAAAAAGAACATTATAGATAAGTTGTAATATGTGCATCTTGCGCCGCAATCGAATAGGTAGCCGATAGAGAGTTCTTCGGAATTCCGAAATATGGTAAAATTTACGAAGTCCAAATATGAATCTGAAGCATACATTTTGTAAACTTTCCAACTTATCAAGCTGCAATTTAAATACATCTGGATAACAACATCAGCGTAATCAAGAATAGAAAGTAGAAGAGGATGAGCATGAGATAAATTTTAGTAGAGATAGGCAAAAAATCGCGTTACCTATTTAGTGCGTGAGAAAAAGGAAAAGATCCTCCTGCTCAGTTCGTTAATTTGGGGCTGCCAAGACAGGGTTGTATCCAAAGTAATGCCCAGATTCCTAACCGTGGCACGGAATGGAATGACGGTACTATCCATAGTAATCTGGGGTAAAGTTAACCATTACATTCTCATGGTATACTATGCACTTCCAATGATAATGGACTCGCTCTTATGAAGGTTTCAAACTCAAACTCAAACTCAAAATGTCTTTATTCATGTAGGTAAACAATTACACTTATGAATTGTCAAGTTAAATTAATTGTAAATTTACATTTACTACCAGTTCGCAAGTCAAGGGCGTAGAGCGGGTAAGAAGAACTGGCAAGAAACTTTCCGCCACTCTTTTTAATAATTTGTTAAGTAGTAATAAAATTTATAAATAGCGAAAAGAGGAAGTACCAGGTCATCACTACTCTTGCCTCTTGGGGATCAACGATATTTACAATAGATATTTACACAATTTTTAATGTACTAATTATAATTGGTAAATATTCCGTATCGCAGCACCAGCGATTTTGAGGCTGATTATTTTTTATAACTTCGTCATGTGTTCTCAGCACCATAACTAGTGTTGTTATGAGGGCACATGACCTTTATTGCCAAAAAAAAAATTCAAAAAGTACCCAAAACCGAATCAAAGCACCACACTATCCACGTGGTCTTGTCTGCCTTACCTCTAGAGTAAATATAAAAAATCGGAGGCGCGAAGGAAGAGCAGCCCCCATCCGCTGTAACAAAGCACAGGCATTATATTATAATAAAATGCCTGTGCTACGCAAGGGCGGAGGGGCTGCATTTTCCGCAGCGCCGGAGCTGTCCAAAAACCATATTATTAATATTGTTCGGTTAGGTTAGGTTAGTATATTAATATTTTTTTTTCATGCGCCATCATAACAATACTAGTTATGATGTTTACAGATCATAACGCGACTGTAAAAAAAAAATCAGTCTCAAAATCGCTGGTGCCGCGATACGGAATATTTACCAATTATAATATTTAACATCCTCAATGAAATCAGGCTAATTGATAGGTACTATCTTTAGTTAAGGAAAATCCCATTGAAACTGATAAAGTATTGTCTGTCGAACAACAAATATACCTACGTAGATTATATAGTTATTGTATTGTAGTACTTACTCAATCGTAATGTACCGGCGATTGCGTAATTTAAATGACTGTATAAAATACAAATAAACTATCCGCTTTAGTCAGTTTTATTAATAGTAAGTTGCATTTTGTAAGGCATATGAAATTACTCTCAAATTTGTGGTCACGGTAGTCCTTTAGAAACGGGAGAGCCATATGATTATAACATATAAATAGGATCTAATATCTGGCAGTAAGTGGTTATAATATACAGATACCGAGGTTCATGCAATTTTTGGAGATTCTTAAGTACCCCCCCAAAGGTAACGCGCCGTAACGTTTTACAAGCGGACTCCCACCCCAAATTCGTTACATAACACTTGAACGCTCCATGTCCATTGGTGGCCTACTCGTGTGTCTCCCATAATAATGAAAAGCTTCACCTACAAACAAAATCTGGTAATTTCTTTTTTTGGTAACGGGTTTATAACTTATTATTCTTAATGCGTTACTATGAACATTAAGCCCAAAATTTGTTTCGTAAAATAAAGTGTAAAAATTGCCGTAGAAACTAATAAGGGCAGCTTAGAGTAAGGCTGTATACCGTATACTCGCAAAAGGGTGTACACGAGGCGATTGTCCCCTTAGTCTACAAATGAAACTCTAGAAACAACGGCTATCTAAGTTATATAAATAACAATCCATTTATGGACTCGGCGTTAGGGCCAGCTTGCACCAGACGACGGACGTGTGAACACATTATCACTACTTTGAGGTATTTTGAATACATTTTTTACTTGTTTGTTTCACTTTAACACTTTTATTTGTATTCATTTATTATTAATTAAGCAAAGAGCCACTAAGAAATTCAATTCAATTGATTAATTCTCTACGTGTATTCGCTACGTGTTTATTATACATTCCGTATGTGTTAATGAGTCATATAATTGTATGGTATATAAACCACCTTTCGCGAGGCTTATGACCTGTTGTTTTGAACTTAGTGATGTACAATTGTAATAATTGACAAAGGTTATCTATTCTATTTATTGTGAGAGTCAGCAATCGTCGCTCAGACACAGCCGGGAACTCCAGTTTCGCCCGTGTTTCGAGCCTGTGAACAGTCTATAAAAAATGTTCCTAATAGCGAAGAATTTTCATTGGTTGTGCATCGTATTCTTGTATGGAAACATAATAAGTGGAGATTCCTTGACTTTAAACTCGATGTTGAAAGAATTGTGCAGTCGATCGCTGTCGAACCTCATATTCCACGTTTGTAACGGTGATATAATGATCAACGATTTTCCGGAATTGGATCAGCCAAAAGTTAGATCGCGGCGTGCTGCACTAATTTACGCGTCGATGAGAATCAAGCGACAACTCGTAGATGAGTGCTGCCTTCACCCATGCTCTGTAGCCCAGTTGGTTCAATACTGCCCTACTGAAGAATGGTGAAGTCAAAGTACTTAGTGCGAGGCGTAAAACCTCAAAACTGATCTCATTTTGCTTTAAATAAGTAAATAATGTGTGAATTTATTTGAATGGTGCCAATCGAGTGAATGATCTGACGGGATGCGGAAAATTTCTAAATAAACAATAAACGTTACTCATGTTAAGTGATAAACAATTAGTATTCCTCTCAGCGATTCTTGTCATAATTTATAGACTTTCAATAGAAATGTTAAATTTTAATTAAGATTCGTTAATAATTAATAGGTTAATTACCGTAGACTGATTAGTTATTTATAGAATGTTTGAAGTTTGTCGAATTAATGTGTATTAAAGTGGTACCTAAAGTAATTTGAGACGTAACATTTAAATTATTTTTGACTTTATTTAATCGTTGATTTTATTTTTGGTTTCCATACTAGAGAGTTTATCTTGAAAGTATAAAAATTAATAAACCATATTTTTTTAATTAAATATCTATTATAAACAGTTTGTTATTATTATACCAACACTCAACTAGCCTAACCAACCTAACCAACTAGTCTACTACCGTTGGTAGATCGTAGATATTTCTATGGAACAGCTATCAAACGTGACAATTGTAGATAAACCTTGCATCAAGAAAAAAAGAAAAACCTACTCTGCTGGTATTTTAGTTTTTTTTTCTTAATTTCTTTATTTTACAAAAACATATAATGCAATCATAATAAGTTACATTAGAAAACCGCTGTGGTTTATATTGATGTGACCATAACAGTCTTGTTTAGTTAGTTTTTTAATTTGCTGTTTATGTTGGTATATATTGCTGCCAAGAAAAATGTGTGCAAACAATTCTTCCGTTTCTAGGATTCTTATATAAACTGCGTCATATCCGCTACAGTATTACAATTTCCGACAAAAATTCCCGCAGATTTAAAAGACTGCAAGTAAAATTAAAAATATCAGTGTTTGGATATAAGCCAAGAAAAAAACATTAAGCCGGATTTGGATTAAATACATGCCACGGAGGGATCTTTATTACAACTTACATTTGGATACAATCGCACGAGTTTGCCTTGAAAATTATGTTTGATAGAATAAGTAAGGTTGTAATAAGTAAAGTTTGAAATCTGTAAGGGTTGGCAAAAGTGACCGCTACGTTATTGTATCCAACAGTTATATTATTATTTAGATTGTAGATCGAGTATAGAAAGCGGCCCTATATCATAACCTAGAGAGCACGTGGTACAAAAACACAATATCCAAGCTATCTCTCTATAGCCTTTTTAGGCCTTGTTTGTTTAGGTTTAAACAACTTGGGTTTGATTCCCGACGAAATAAAAGTTTTATATATCAACATTAAAGACGCGATGCTGTAGGAATACTACATGTATCTGGAGAAATATCAACGGAAAAATATATATAAGCTTATGTCGCAATTAGTTTCAATTTTGATCAACTTTATTGCCAAATAAATGAATAACTGAATGTAATTTCCCCCAATACTTAAAAACCAATAATTTTAATATAATCTAATGTTTTTTTTAAATGAACTCAAAATATACAAATAATTATATTACAATAGGGTTTCTAGTACAATACCATTAAAGGAATGTTTTTCTTAATTTATATTACAGACAGAATACTGTTACAGTGTAGAATTATATAACATAACATATAATTATATTAACAAATTAACAAAATTATTGTTTTATTAAAGTAAAGTAAAAAATCATTAAACCAAGTAGGTAACTTAATGTACACTCATAACTCGTCAGTAAAGAAATACATATTAATGCTTCTAATTTTACATTTACTGCCAGTTCTCAAATCAAGGGTGTAGAACGGAAGAGAAGAACTGGCAATAAACTCTCCATACTATTCTTATTCAGTACTACATAATATGTTAAACTTTTTGTTTATGTCAATAAATATTTTATAGTCTTTTTGCTTTTTTCTCCACTTCTGCATGCCCTTAAAACAAAGTATTTTTTACAAAAGCCAAAAACTATCAATTGAGACGTCAAATACACTAAAATTATTCTTATATGATAGTTGAAATAGCTGTTTTGATATACAAGTTGTTTATGAAAAGTGGGGCAACTTTTCGGCTTATTCCGGCTTATACCGTATATTTGACTAATAATTATAACATTCTAGCATATATACAAAAAATATATAGATTTCTTAGTGAAGGGGGCGATACCTTTAAGTCGATCTATTTCTTTAAGGTATTGGTACTAAATAACTGGTTTAAAATCTTCCTGTTTGCTCACTAACGTTCTCCATAGATACGATATCTAAGTAGCTATTCCAGTAATAAGGTCAAATTAGATGAGTTGCATGACCTAGATAAAATGAAATATAGGTTAGATAGTTGTCAACACATTTATCGAGAACTTTGCACGAGGTAAATGATGATAATTGATGTAAACAATATTTAATTTTGGTACATGTTATTACTAGCTGTTGACTGTGGAATCGCTTGCAATTTTTAATTATATCCTGCATATATAAGCGAACAAACCTTCCTTAATAGTTTCATAATTAAATAACTGTCACAATTTCAAGTTTTTGTTTGGTTTGTAACCCCCTTAATCATAAAAACAGTCTAGCACCGTTTCAACATAAATCTGTCTCTGTTATCACAGCGTGAACATAATTTGACAGAAAGAGGCGAAAGAATACTGTAGAGTACAGTTAGGATGATTTAGTTTTTAGAAAAAGGGTTTTCAAGATGATGCGGTATTAAAAATGTCCTGTTTATTTAAAATTTGATGAATCTGTCAGGACAAATCATTTTATGTCTATATGATTGCATGCGTGTTTTTATTTATACAAATTCAAGGACATAAAAGCATAATATTGATTACACGAGAAAAGCACAGCATGAGCACGATACAAACATGCTTTTATTTTTAAGGATTGAACTTGTTAAAAAATCGTGTAAAACCTTAGGAATTCGTGAGTGCATGAGAATGTGAATGGGTGTGTGTACGTGAGAGTGTATTTGAGAGTGTGTGAGAGATGATTTAAGCTTGCGTGCGCGTCTGGGTTAGTTTTGCCCTTCAGGCGATTGACCACCCCGTGACTGCCCAAGCCGAGGTTCGAGTCTCACAGGAGACGCCCTTGCGCTAGTCGCGGGAAAAACACCCATTCTGGCCGAGCTACGCTCCCCAAAACAGCCCGAACTGAGCTGTAAAGGCCCTAAAGGCAAATAGCGAAATTCCATTTAAAAAAAAATGGGTTAGTTTTTGCAACCTCAAATTCATACTAGTACAAGACATGTAGTAAGGCTTCTGTAGAATTGAAATCGACATGTAGGAACATTATTTAAATGCAAAATCTGTTTTTCATTTGTTTTAGTAGAATCTTTTCAAGTGTGTTCCTTCTGTCTGTCCTCTGTCAGCATCTTCTTTTAAATTTTATTTAAGTTTGGAATTTAAGAGTTAGGTCTTCCTTATTTCTGTTAAGTTCAAAAATACTTCCTAATCTAGAATAAACTCAGTCATACGTTCACTGTATAACAATACTTGAACAAAAAACCAAACAAAGCAGGATATACTTATATCTTGCTACCGATAAGCCTATATCTATAAAATAAAAACTTTGGACTCATTGCTATTCCAATAACAATATTACCAATCTTGTTATTGTGAGCTACAGTAAATAATTATTTATTTAATATAAAAAATGTAAATAATAATTATTTATTACTCATGTTTGCAGCCTATGAAAGCACGAACAATGTCTATATTGTTTTTGAAGATAAAGTATTATATTGTATTGTTACATTATATTGTGAGAATAGATATGATTTATGACCTATTGTAATAATAAGAAATATATAAATCCTAGATGGGAAGGCACTACAATCGTGCCGCACATACCTAGGTAACACTGAAAATGTTTAGAAAATGAAAAATGGCTTAATGTAGAAAGTTGCCAATACTTTTATTGTTTTTCGAAGTAATCTCTGTTCCTCTCTACACATCGTCGCATTCGATGGAACCACTGAGAAAAGCAGTGGGACCATTCTTCCTTAGCGGTTCTATGACATTTTCGTACGCTTTCACCGCATCTTCAGGGCTCGTAAAGCGAATACCTTGAATTTTATCTTTAGTATTTGGTTCGTAGCTATATTATATCCGGCTTTCATTACCTGCGACGATGTCAAATATCGCTGTTGAACTTATCTAACATTTGGCGACACCAGTCCATGAGAAGCTTAAAGTATGGGGAATCCTTCTGGTACAAAGCTTCCTCTTGCCCGTATCTGCTGATAGGTCACTCTCTTATCTTCCTCTATCATGCGTCGCACAGCACTGATGTTATCTTGAGTAGTCGCTGTTAAAGGACGTCCCTCACGCGCATCATCATTGAGATTGCTACATCCACGCTTAAACTCGTTAAACCAATTGTAAATAGTGGCACAAGATGGGGCTTCATTAAGAAACGCTTATCGCAGCCTATCAGAGCTTTGTTGTTGAGTAAGCCCACAACGAAAGTCATAATAAATTATTTTCTCGCGTTAGGTTCATTTTCTCGTGTAACAAGAGTTTTAGATTTGCCGCCAATTCACAAAAACAAATAACAAATGAATTCAATATACTAACATTAGGTTACCAAATAGTTCTTAAATTAAAATTTAAAAAAGGTAAAGGTGTGAAAGACAATATCCAAATCTGACAAGAATAAAAAGAAGCAAAAGAGTAAGGAAAGCTACGCGATCTTCATCTACAAGGTAATAAAGCAGGTATATCCAGCCTTGCGATTCTATAACTCACTTTTCGAACTCTTATTAATAAACTACAAGCTTCCTCCTTATCAGAATGCCAAATCGTAAAATGACTGCTTTACCACTGATTTAAGCGCGACCGCCGCTGTGACAACCGCTGTGAGAGTTCGAAAAGTGAGTTACAGAATCACAAGGCAGATACAGGGATATCTTCGAATACTATGCCAATTATGAACTCTTTTGTAAACGATGACTTCGAGAAGATTGGAGGCGTTTCGTCTTACGCAGT